TTTTGACCACGTTATGCAATCAAGCTCATTAGAAAAAGATAAATGCTTGGAATGCGTGGTGGCAGGAGAAAACCGGGTTGCCAAAGAGCAAGGTGGTTAGACTCCTCCAAAGAGGATGTGGGTCAGAGCATAGATCAGCTGAAAGAGGTGGCGCAGGACCAGAAAGTGTGGCGAGATTTGGCCCATAGGATCACTTACAGTTGGACATGTCTGAACAGCTGAACAACAGCAACAAGCAGGAGCAGTGCCCCCCCGGATTACCTAACTGAGGAATGAGCTAAGTTGCTCATGATTTGAGTGACGCTATTGTAGTCTGTACATTCCCATTTCCTTACTAATTACATAAACGTGTTTTGTGTGTATGTGTATGCAAGGTAGCATTTGGAATGCTTAGAACCTTAAAGGACTTCATCGTGCTGGGTTTCATAAATAACTTGAAATCACCTCTGTGACTTTGAGTCTTGTTTCCAGCAGGGAGCCATCAAATTCCAAATTGCTCCTGCAATCAAGTCAAATGTGCAGTATTTTGGCTGAGCTGTGATGAGTACATAAGGCTGGGAAATGAGATGGAAAATGAAATGGGCGTCTACATTTCCACTGAAGTTCCTCGGGCCTGCATGAAAAAGACAATGCTTCAGGTCTCATCCTTCTTTCCAATGCCTCGCTGATATAGTTAATGAACTCCTATTGATTGAGACTTTCTCTTTTTTAGGGTTTCTTTCGTGTGGCAAGGGGAAACTTCAGGCTTGTGGAATCTACTGTAAGCCGAGTTTCATCCGCTGGAGCCAAGTGCAAATAATGTCTTAGAAAGAGCGATGGCCATACATTTAAACTTAAGGAACAGGCTACCTCTGAATGCAACTTACTTATTTGTGAATGTTGCAGCTTTGGCACAAATAAAATTGTCTTGATATTTGTTGGAAACCTGGATTACTTTCTGGCTTTCTCACTGCCAGTCCTAATTGCCCCTTATTACTTTTAGGTGGAAAAACTGGACACAGAGCTGTGGTAGTTTTCCTATTTTTTGCCACCCTTGTCCTCAGCCACCAGTCCCCCTTTTTTCTGTTTCTTACCTCTTGACAGGGTCACTGTTGTAACCAGATAAGAAAAGTATTCTGTGGCAGCTGAAACTGGGAGGCAGAATGGAGATTCATAGCATCCTATGGTGCTTTGGATATGGTGCTTTGTAGGGACTGTAGGATTGCTTTCTCTGTTTATTTTTTGCTCCTCTTTCCCCATTCCTTTTCTGGTACATCTTTTAGATTGTAAAGCCAAGGACCGGACTACAATATATTGTTATTTGACTGATCTGTTTGGGTGAAGAGGAGGGCAACTTTCCATTCATGTATTGGTTTTTCATGTAACATTTTCATTCCTTTTGCATGAAAAACTGACAAGCTCTAACATTAGATTAAACGACAAGGGTCCATCTTTATTCAGTAACTAAACTGTGCTTTTTGGCTTTTCTCTTGTGAACTGCAGTAGGATCATCCCTGGAGAGATTCCAGCAGTAATCGGCAAGCATGGGCAGAATCCATTTCCCTTGGTATCTTTTCTCCATGCCTGCGATATCCTGATGGAATCTCTCCCCATGATCATCACTCACAGCCCCACTGTTCAAAGGGAAATCGTCTAAGCGTGAGTGTAGGAAGTGAATTCTCAGTGACATGTTTGCAGCAAGCGCTTTATAGGACCTAAGCAAAATTCTTCCTTGAGATCCCTTTTGCAACTGGGGGAACCATGCAAGAATAGCAGTCGCTACTATGACGGGTGGGTTCCCGCCTGCGAAAGGCGGAACTGCGAAAGGCATGGGCTTTTTCTTCTTGTTTAGCCAGTGACGCAGAGAAGTGGCACATGTAATGCCACAATAATGAGGGGCCCAACCCTTGTACTGATCCCCTATTTTGCATTCAAAGTATAGGTGGTCTGCTTTTTTTACCATTGCTGTCATACTTCACTTTTGAGATGCAAATGGAGCAGAAGTTATCTGGGTTGTTTACACAGTTTCGAGTCATCTTGGCTTCTGAGAGAAAATACCACATAACTGTTCCTTGGAAATGTTAGGAATGACACTTTCACAAGCCACCAGATGTGACTTACTTTATTTATTTATTTAAAGTATTTATATGCTGTCCTGTCTCGAAAGCCTCAGGACGGCTCACATAGATAAAATACAATAAAATATAACATAGATAAAATTCTTGACCCACACTGGCTGCAATAAAAACATACAAGTCATGATATTAAAACTTATTAAAATATTGCTGAAATAAAAAGGTCTTAACCTGGTGCCGAAAAACATATAACAACAGTGCCAGGCAGACCTCTCTGGGGAGCACATTCCATAGACGGGGCGCCATCGCAGAAAAAGCCCTCCTCCGGGTGCTCTGCCTCTTAATATCTTTCACGGAGGGTTCCCGGAGGAGGGCCTCTGCTGTGGATCTCAGGGGGTGGGAGGGCAAATATGGAAGAAGGTGTTTCTTTAGGTATCCAGGTCCCAAGCCATTAAGGGCTTTATAGGTAATGACCAGCACCTTGAATTGAGCCCGGACTTTGATGGGGAGCCAGTGAAGCTGATGGAGGACTGGGGTTATGTGAGAATAACGCCCAGTCCCTGTCAGCAACCTGTCCACTCTGTTTTGCACCATCTGAAGTATCCGGACTGTCTTCAAGGCCAGCCCCACGTAGAACGCATTGCAGAAATCCAATCGGGAAGTAACCAATGCATGTGTCACTGTTGCTAGGCAATCTTCCTCCAGGTAGGGATGCAGCTGATGGATTAGCCGAAGCTGAAGGAAAGCGCTCCTCACCACCACAGTCACTTGAGCTTCCAAAGACAGGTCCAGGTCAAAGAGCACTCCCAAGCTGCGGACCCTGTCCTTTAAAGGGAGTGCAACCCCGTCCAGGGCAAGGCCCAAGTCACCTACCCAGGAGCTCGATCTGCCCACCAGCAGGACTTCCATCTTGTCTGGATTGAGTTTCAGTGTATTGGCCACCTAACTGTATGATGCATAGATCTGACCAAGACTAATGTACTTTGCAATAAAAGAACAATAAATTACAGTTAGGTAATAATCTTTGGTCTCAAACTGAAGATAAATTTATACACTTCCATGTGGTACCATTTTCATTGTTCTCCCGTACTTCGTTGAGAAGTTATGAGGCATCATGATAATCAGACACCTCCCTCCCTTGTAGGCAAATATACTTGCCTGTGTATAAATCTTTATTGTGAAATACCTTGAAAATTTTAGCCAACCAGCACCTTTATCAGCTGTTTTCTAACTCATCTAATCAAAATATGTAAGAATTAGCATATTTTATCTCGGAGGTTGATAATTTCCCAAAATTTGTAGATCAGTGTATTCAGTGTATTGGGTTTCTTTCTTTCTTTCTTTTTAAAGTAAAAAACAGTGATTGCAGAAACCCAAAGTTCTTTTAATGCGAACAGGCCTATACTCTTTCTCGAAACTCTGACTTACCTTCTCTCAGCAACTTGTATGCATAATGTACACACAAATATACCTGATATAAGCAAACTATTAAATGTTAGTGTTTTATTGTTGCTGCTCTTAGGTGCCATTTAGTGATCCATAGTGTTGGAGCTGTGGAACATGGTGTTCTCTGTCCCATGGAATCCCATAGAAAGATCTTCGGCAGTCTCTGCTCCTGCTGCAGTTGTTGCCCCATGTACGAGTATGACTCTTTGAGAGAGGGAAGGGCAGCCATTTCCCAGAATTCCCTTTGATTGCTGTATTGAGATCAAAATACTGTATTATAAATGCGTCACAAGTTATATAGCATGCTGAAATGATGGATAGTTTGTGTTAAATTGGGCTGTTGTTCTCAAAGGTTGCCACTAGGTGGAAATATTATTTCACTTTTGTTTAACTGGTGCTCTTTGAGCACATAATAAAATGCATACCAGAGACCAATCATCGCATTTTGGCCCTACAGCACTCTTCCTGAATTGATGGTCCACAAGCTGTATGAGGCCTGTCAAACTTTAACTTTCATTGCTGCCTTCATTTGCTTCTTCTTCTACTGATACTGTTTTTGATTAATTTGCTTATTGCTTTCTACATACTCATAGCTTTACAGAGTAGCAGAAGCAAAATAAAGGTCTGTGTGGAAAGTATAATCTAATTTTTTCATAGCATCTGGTACCCCAGCTCTGCCTACTGTATTTTCTTTTGATATTGCATACCATACAAATGGGTCGCAGGATTGGGACTCTGACATTCCCCCCCCCCCCCACACACCCCTTGAGCAGCAGGGCTATTTGGAATTAGAGCCAGTTGGCCCCACAACAAAACGGTCCCATAGATGAACATATTCGAAATAAATGGCTTAACTAAAAAGCCCTTAAAAGTGCTGCAGTTTAACATCAGTGTCTTATTATTATGAATACAATTTTCAGACATGCAGATAGGGGAGGAGGTGGTGTTTCAAATTACCTGATCCCAAATCACACAGCTTTATAGGTAAGAACCAGCTCTTTGAATTGGAAACAAACTAGAAGCCAATGCAGTTCTAAATGCTGCATTTTACATTTTATCATCTATAAAATGCATGTCAGATAATCTGGCAGAAGCATTGTGCACTGGCTGTAAGGACTGCCTCAAGTAGAATATGCCCCAGTAACCAAAGCGTAAGGTGATTAAGGCATAGATCACCTTGGCAGATCCACCTTCCTCAGAAAGAGATGCATGATGCACCATCAGAACTGGCAAAGGCACTCTGGCCATCCAGAAGCAGTCCTAGGCTTAGCATCCCTAGCCTTTGTACCCAGTCCTTCAGGCAAATCGCTGCTTCATCCAGAACACTGTGCTGGTCTACTGGACAGCAGGCCGCTCTTGTCTGCACCGAGCTTCAGTTTGTTCGCCCACATCCAGGCATCACATCCTGACAATGATTCAGAACTTCCAGAGTTTCCTTGGTTGCTTCTGAAAATACAGTTGTTTCTTCTGATCCAGTGCTCTGCTATTCTGCTCCTTCAGAATGAAGAAATGGCCCGCCAGCTGGTGGAGCTGGGCTTCCGGGGAAGTGGAGAGGTGCTGAAAAGGGAAGATTTTGTTACGAGGAAACTCGCAGCTGAGGCTTCAAGGTTCTCAGAAAGACACCAGAAAAAGTAAGTGGTGCATTTGTGTGAATGAGAAAGAGACAGCTAAGGAAATTAGGAAAATATCACAAGATTAGGAAAATGGAAGTGAACAATGGTTCCAATTTGAACGCCTAGCCTTTGGGATTGTGTAAATCTGGAGCATGAAAAATGTTAGACATGTAGGAATTGATATCAGATTTGTATCCTTACAAATGATTCACATCTATAACTACCAGCATCAGATGCTTAGGTAAGTAATTCCCAAACAGTCTACTGCCAGAGAGCTGTATATTTCTGTTTGTCAAGGCACACTAAGAGTTTGAGATCTCTGTGAATTAAAATACCCACCCCTGGGAGAGACTGACCATTATATCCCTGCATGATTCATTGCTATGGTCTTGCCTTCTTCCAGTCCGCCTCTTCTGGAACTGGAAAATTCTGTCACATTTCTCCACTGGGTGCAATTGACTTTTCTGATCATTCCCAGTGGAGAAATGTGGCAAAAGAACCCACACACAAGAGTTCATGTTGCATTTATGTATCATGTGCTGCTCTGACCCTGCTTTTTTCCCAGTAAGATAAGTGTTGCATGCAGAAATACAGGGCAGGTACTTCTTTTACACAGGATAAACTTCAGCCTTTTCTAGTGCAAGAATGAAGTGTGTATCTAACTTTAATGCAGAAAAATAGCAGGTATTGTATATTCCGAGACACTGGTTCATGCAATTGGGTTCCCCCACCCCCCAGTCCTGGTTTTATTTATTTATTTATTGCATTCGTATGCCGCTCCATAGCCCGAAGGATGTCAAAGGGGCTCACAGTACAATCGTAATAATACAGATAAAATAGAAAATACAGATGAAATAAATTACAGTAATAACTAAAACCTTAAAACATAATAGAGTAAAAATGCAATATAAAAAACAGGAGGATAAACACAATCTAAACAACAAATCAACAAACAACAAAACAGTAAACCAGCAGCCAGACCAATACTAAATAAAACTTAACTTGGCATTGAAAGCAAGGTAAAGTGGGTGCCAGTCACACCTCCCTTGGAAGGGAACTCTAAAGGTGACGTGTGACGACAGAGAAGGCCTATTTCTCCCTCAGCTCATTTGGTGGGGGGTTCACAAAGGAGCGCTTCCATTGATGACCTGAGTGGTCTGGTAGGGATATATTGAAACAGGTGTTCCTTAGACAGCCTTTGTTTCAGCCTTTATATGTTTGAATCGGGCTCAGGCAATGACAGGCAACCAATGCAGCTGGCAGAGGCCTGGCATAATATGTTCTCTAGGGCCAGTTCTGGTTATTAACCACGCTGCTCTGTTCTGTAATAATTGAAGTGCCTGGACCACCTTCAAAGGCAGCCCCATGAAGAACACATTACAGTAATCCAGGCAAGAGGTTACCAGCACATTGGTAACGGTGGTGAGGCTCTGCTTGTCCAAGTAGGAACATAGCTGGAAAATCAGCTTAAGCTGATAGAAGGTGCTCCTGGCCCTGAGACCACCTGAGAAACAAGTGAGAGCTCAGAGTCCAGGAGCACCCCCAGGTTACACACCTTATCCATTAGGGGAAGCGCAACCCTGTCCAAGATTGGTTGGAAAATTCCCAGTTGGAGAAGTGGACTGCCCACCAACAGAATCTGCATCTTGTCTGGATTGAATTTCCGTTTATTGGCCCAGCTCCCGTCCATTACCGAGAGCCAAAGCTAAGGCACTGGTTCAGGACAGTCACTGCCTTGTCTGGATCGGATGAAAACAAGAGGTAGAGCTGAGTATATCAGCATACCGATGATACTTCAGCCCATACCTCTGGACGACCCCACCCAGCGTTTCATGTAGATGTTCAAGAGCATGGAGCCCTGTAGAACTCCATGGTGCAAATGCCATGGCATGGAGCGACAGTCCCACAGCTCTATCAACTGATGGCGGTCAGCCAGGTAGGATTGGAACCACTGCAAAACAGTGCCTCCAAATCCCAATCTGGCCTGCCCCTCCGGAATACCATGGTTGATGGTATCGAAAGCTGCTAAGATCCAGGACAATCAACAGGGTTGTGCTCCCCTTGTCTCACTCCTGACATAGGTTGTCCCAAGGACGACCAAGGCAGTTTCTGTTCCAAAACCAGGCCTAAAGCCCAATTGAAATGGATCTAGATAATCTGTTTCCTCCAAGAGTGCTTGGAGTTGCCCAGCCACAGCCCACTCAGGAAGGGAATATTGGCAATAGGTCGATAATTTTCACATCCTCTGCATCCAGATGTGGCTTTTAAAGTAATGGTGTAATGACCACCATCTTTAAAGGGGCGGACACCACTCCCTTTCTCACAGAGCCATTCACTGCCTCCTGGATCCAGGGACAAGTCCCCTCCTTTGATCTCTCAATTAGCCAAGATGGGCAGGAGTTGAGCGAACAAGTGGCACTGACATAACCAAGCACCTTGCCCACATCCTCAGGCCACAATAGCTGAAGCTCATCCAGGAAGATTGGACCAGGTGGCACACTAGACACCTCTGCTAACAGCACTGGGATAATTGCAGTGTCCAACTCGAGACAAATCTGAGCGACTTTACCCTCAAAATGTCGCACAGACTTGTCACAGCGGGTCTCTGAGGGTTTGATGGATGATCTTAAAAACAGCAGTAGCTAGTGTGGAAACAGATCTGCTGGAAAGCTGGTAACTAGTTGCCCACCTGAAAGCAAATAGTGTAGAATGTTGTCAGGTGTTGTAATGAATGCAGGTGCTGCTGCTTGTGAGGCATTTCAGAACCCCAGTTCCCGCCATCCTAAAGCAGCATTCTCCATTGCAGTGCTCACTACATACGTTGGACTACAACTTCCATCATTTCCAGGCACTGGTTTGGGGAAGACTGCTATATGGGATCATGCACGATCATTCCTAGCAGTAGCATCCCGAGGCAATTTCAGTGGTTGCAGCCTGTCACACAGAGTAAGGAAACTTGCAAAAGGGCTTTTGGCAGGTGCATCAAAATCCTTAAGATACATGAGCGTTGTCCTCCTTGGCTCCTGTGCGATATTAGCAACAAGGCATTGGTGCCAGCATTTTCGTTTTCTCCTTGGGCTGGGCTGTACAATAGGTTCAGCTGACTGAGACTTGGAAGGGCAGCAATGAAGAAACTAGAAATGATCCACAAATATAAGTATGTTTCACTGACGGCCAAGGCCAAGATCATCCAAACTGTTGCATTCCGCATTATGATGCATAGGTGTGAAAGCTGGGCAGCGAAGAAAGCCAACAGGAAGAACATGGATTCAAAAATGTCAAAACTGAGGTTGTTGTACTTTGAGAATAGCAGGAGAAGGCAAGACTGACTGGAGAAAACAATTGTGCTAGGGAAAGTCAAAGAAGGAAGAAGAAAAGGAAGACCAAATATGAGCTGGGTAGATTCTGTAAAGGAGGTCACAGTCTTGAGTTGACAAGGGCAGAGCAGGGCTGTGAAGGACAGGGCACTTTGGAGGGTACCCATAGGGTTACTCTAAGGTGGAGACGACCTGTGGAGGGTACCCATAGGGTTACTCTAAGGTGGAGATGACCTTTGGAGGGTACCCATAGGGTTACTCTAAGGTGGAGACGACCTTTGGAGGGTACCCATAGGGTTACTCTAAGGTGGAGACGACTTGACAGCACATTGCAGCACCAACCAAGTGCACCAATGGCTTCTTAACTGATTTCGGCACTTGTTGGGCTTCTCCTACCTAACTGCCTGTCCAGCAAATCTATGTTCTCAGCCCTCTGCTGAAGAATTCAGCATGTCTTCTTCCTCTAGTAGAATTCTTTTTTTTTCCTTGCAAGTCTTAGTTTGCTTGGACAGGTGTCAAGCATATGCTGTCACCTCAGCTGTCAGATCCAAAGTGAACTATATGCCAGAGCAAAACATTTCTGCTTTGTTTGCATAATTGGTAAGTGATCTCTGCCTTTTCCATGTTTCTTGGAACATTGCAGGAGGAAGTGCTTAAATCTAGGACTACTAAAGAATTGCTCTTGAATTTTTTTTAACAATTCATGGAATATTTTTGGTGTAAGAATAACTTTTTAAAAAATGGGATTTATGTTCATTAGGTACTTCCTAGACTTCGTCTCCTAATGCTATTTGCTCTGTCTTGTTACTTTGGGTTAACAACCTGCCTTTACTCCTCAGATTCCCTGTTGTTGGAATGGTAGATGCGTAGTTAAAATGCTACTTGATAAAGAGTCTCTAATTCTTCCTGTTTTATTACTGTAATAATAAAACACTTTGAGTCAGTTTCCACTGTTGGCACATTCCGGAAGACTGTGGTTCCTGGATTCTCTAACATGAAATCAATGGCGAGGACTTGCACCTTCCACCACCTGCAGTGACCACGACCAGTGGCTCACCTGCTGGGGATGCTAAGAGTTGTAGTCCAAGAAATCCAGGAGGTTTCAGGTTTGGGAAAGCTGTTTTCATGGATAATACGTTCACATGGGGGACAATATCTCTCCCAACAAGGGAGAGAATTTATCTCTGCTTGGGGTGACTCAGTCTGAGCAAAATCGCTATGCGAGTGCAGCCCTTTGGTATTTCAGTCAAACAGGCTGCAAAGACTGTGCAGAGAACTTCATACAGGGCCTAAGCTTAGGGGCACATATTCACCATATATGGATTTCCTATAACAGAGCCAAAATAACCTAATATTTGCTTGCAGGTCTCTAGTTAAAAAAAAATCACAGGGGAGACTTCTCTCTCTCTCGCTCACTCTCCCCACCCTGTCACAGAAATGGGAGGCAATTCTTCTTCGCACTTGCCTAGTTTTCCTAATCCTAGTTAATCCTGATACTTTTGTTGGAATTACTGATAAAAAACCAATTAAGGTTTATTTGGGAATTTTCTCAAGACATAGTGTATTGTATTGGTTAATAAAAACATTGTTTAAAAGTTGTAGCCTGCACTATTTCTCCCAATCTTTGTGGCAAGTAAAAGAAAAGAAAATGCTTTCAGCATTACTTTCTGAAAATAACTTACAGTATTGTTTTTGACAACA